TATAGGCTAAATAATATAGTAATTGCGCTCTGGTCGGATTTTTTTCTCCTTGCGAAGACATTTCTTATGCTATAAGTAAGGTGGGTATTGGGACAATGACTTTGAATATTATGTGACCGATCACTCAATTTGCCGCCCTCCTGGACGTGCCGCCCGCGTGCAGTGCACGCCTTGCACGCCCGCTTACGGCGGGCCTGCTGAGGTGACTGTAGTGATTCCAAACACTATAAAGTTAACATTATTTTTACTGATAAAAAAAAATAAAATCTTTGACTGCTTTTTATTAATAAAGAAACATTCTACATATTTCATGTGTTCGAAAAACAAAAGGTTAAAGGGATCTGCTAGGAAAGAAAGAGCCTGCTCTACTCCAGGCTCCATACAAGCTCTCAATGGCCCTGCTCTTTGACATAGTAAATGCTCACTATAAACAAATATGGACATTTTAAGAGAATTTCTACAAAATACAAGAATCATCACAATTACAAAGCTGTAACTCTGAAGACAGATAAAACACCATTAAACCTAAGCAACATTGTCCTGGATTTAATACAATATATTAAAGACACAAACACCATAGAGCAGTTCTGGAGCTAGAAGAAATCTACTACAACAGACATCCTAATGATTCCAATCATACTGACAATATTGCAACAAAAACTATTGGCTGGCTCAGATATGTCTCTTTACAGGTTTGTTTTTGTTTTTGTAAAGGTTATAAATATTAAAAAACTAGTTGTTACCCGTGACTTCGCCTGCACGGATTTTGCAAGCAAATCCCATTTATATTCAGTATTTCAACAACCATAGTAATTGTTATATAACACCTACCGCTGAGAATGATGAGAATTGCTGAGAATCAAACAAGCTGTTTTCAATTTGATCAATTTTCTGGAATGTTTACAATCATTCTATAAGCAAACTAATATGTAATAATAAATTTGAATTTAAAATGGTTCAAACATTGGGTTAAAAAATAGAAATATATAAAAATATTTATAATAATGCCTAAAATGTTGTTATCAATTTAATACACCTAAGTATTCAACGAAAACTAAATGTAGTTAAAAACAAAAAATTGCATCTAAAATAGTACAGTAGAAGCCATTCTTCAGGTTAAGCCTTAATGCTCTCTCTCTCTCCCAGGGGGATCGAAAAATCCCTTCTTAGTGTGCATTTTCATGATGTACCCAAACTGTGTACCAAATTTCACCTCTTTAGGTTCAGCAGTTTGCTCTGGGCGATGATGAATCAATCAGTCAGTCAGGACAAGTAATTTTATATATTTAGATTACAGGTTAGGTTATAAATACAAAAAAGCTACAGAAAGCATATTTAAAAGACACAACACTTTCAGATAATGCTTGAAGGAAATCTATACTAATATTATAAAGAAGTAATGTTTGTAAGTAAGTTTGGATGTAGCGGGTAATCTCCGAAACTACTCATCCGATTTCAAAAATTCTTTCACCAATATTTAAAATGGAACTTCAAGGTGGACATAGGCTGTATATTATTCCATTAAACATTCATATAAATTAAAAGATATAATCTAGGTTAAGGCTTTTATGTCCAACAGATGGCGCTATGAGTACGACGCCCTAAGTTTGCTTTTCTGTGAGGCATTATGCTTTTCTGTGAACTAAAGCAGATCATCTATCTATCTATCTATATAAATAAAAATGTAATGTTCGTTTGTTCCTACCGATTCCTTTGAAATTTTGACACAACGCTGCATTCGAATACGCACGTGTTTTTATATAATATACATGTCGAAATTCCCCCCACTGGGGGGAGAGGGACAGGATTTAGGCTTACCGTGAAGAACTTGGCTTCTATTATACTATTTTAGATGCGGTTTTTTGCATTTTTGATTGCATTTGAATAGGGTATGTCAAGAGAATGTACACTAAGAAGGGATTTTTCGAAAAATTCCCCCCACGGGGGAAGTGTTATACATTTATATAGATACGTTTTGAGCCACAACGACGCGTGGCGGGGTCTGCTAGTATTACATAAAGCATAAAATTATATAAAATACAAGGGCCAATCTAGAAATTATGCCATCCTGGGAAAGATAGTTAATTGTCACCTCTTTTAAATATACACTAGCTCACAGAAGTATCCAGACATCTATAAAATGGAAGAGTTTTTTAAACTAAAAAAAATATTTACATGTGCAAAAAATATTGATCAAAAACATAAATAAAATTTTATTTCAAACTGAGAAAATTTTCACATAACAAAAGTTTCTGGAGAGAGGAAATAAATGATAGAAAGTATCAGATCATTTTCCTAAAAATATGTTTACAACAATTTGCCTCAACAAATGAGTTAAAGTATTTGTTTCATACTTGAACTGTTTTATTTTATCATTGTGAACAATGAAAACAAATATATTAACCATTGTTATTAAAGGACTCATTATTAAGGAATAGCAAAAGGGAAAACCTGTGCAAAACTTTGCTGAACAGTTTCAAATTCCAAAATCCACAATTCAAGATACCATTATAAAATTCATTACAACTAATAGTGTAGTTAATAAGGCTCAAACTGGACGTCCTGAAATATTTACCTCGAGATAGAAACATGTCATTGTCTGGAAAGTGAAGAAAAATCCATGAATAATTGCTCCTAAGTTTGTTGCTGTTGAGGCTTCTGTAGAATGTGGAGTATATAAATCTGCAGAAACTGTCAGAAAAACTTTAAAAGCAAGTAGCTATAAAGATTTTATGGCTATGAAAAAACCAGCAGTAAAGGTTAAAGTTTACAAAAGAGTTTTATACAAAAAGTAAATTTTGGAAATTAGTTTTGATGTCAGATGATCCAAATTCAATGTGTTTGGTTCAAATTATTGCCTGAAAGTGTGGATAAAAGCTGAAGAATCTTAAAACATGAAAAATCTGATATCTATAGTAAAATGTGGAGATGGTTTAATGCTATTTGGAGTTCTATGCCTGCAAATGGTGCTGGAACTTTGTAATTTGTTGATGGAATAATGAATCAATGTGTGTCTAAATATAATTTAAATAAAAATGTTCAGAAATCAGTAAGAAAGTTGAAATCGGAGTAAGGGTTTCTTTTCCAGTAAGACAACAATCCAAATCACACTTAAAAAGTCAGTCAGTTTGTTGATGTGCCCTGTATAAAAGTGTTTCCTTGGCTTCCACAATTGTCCGATCTCAACCCAATTGAGCATTGTAAGATTACATTAAATGAACAATCAAAACAAAATCAGTAACAAACAAAATTGATCTTAAAAACATCATCATTGGAGTTTTGAATTTAATAGATGAAACCGTTATAAAACTTTCAATGAATCAATGCCTAGTTGTTACCAGAGTAAAAGGAGGCCCAATTCGTTCTTAAGTGTATAAAAAGTTCTGTTTAATCATTATTTATTTCTTCTGTCCAAATACTTTTGTGATGTGAAAATTTTTATTTTAAACATTAAAAAATTAATAAAAGTATATTTCTCTTTTTGATGATTGTTTTTATACATGTAAATACTTTTTTCTAGTATAAAAAAAGTCTAAAGAATTCATATCTGTTATTATTTTTTCCCTATTTCATGTAAGAAATGAGTGATAACTAAAAAACTCTTCCATTTCATAGGTGTCCGGATACTTTTGTGACCTAATATAGGTATAGTGTAATTTTAATTGTAAGATCTGAGGGCTTGCTTGGACTTCACACTTAATTATTTTCAAAAAGTAAAAAAATCAATTATCTGAAATTAAGAATTATTATTATTTTCTTCTTCAGTCAATTTTGCTGCCCCTAGCAATCTGCCTCCTTATGCAGCCACCCACCTTGTCCACCAACCCTATATCAGCCCAATAACATGTCAAATTGGATTGCAAGCTTTTAGAACAAATAGACTACTTAAGATATATTAATATAAACAAATAGCAAAAATAAGACATGGAAAGTTTGTAAACAAATATAAACTATTATATACCTAGCAATCTGTTATATAATGTTATAAACTGATTATTGTAAAAATCAGGACCATGAAGTCAGACTCAGTCAAAAGCAATTCTTGAATTACCAGATTCATTAGAGCCGGAGTCAATAAAAATAGACCTCCTCCAAACTTTAACAGGTTATGGTTCTAAACAGTAGTCTGATGATTAATGTTGACAGTGACAAAATGCCTTGAATGTTGCATGCATTCAATCGATATAAAAAGTATATAATTAGTATATTTATTATTTACATCTTATACTAATATATAAAGGAATTGAAGTCAAAGCATTTGTGTACCAACTTCACAGTCCTACTAAAAATATTATTGTATGGCAACACTGACAGAGAGCCTTGCATGCATGCAGGAGTGCCCATACACTGGGGAACTTAGGGCACATGTTTCCGTTTTTATTTCTGGATTGCCCTTTTCATAATCCATAAACTCCTTTATCAACAAACAACAGAAAATTCATGACTTCTAGCTTATTCTGCAAATATAAAAAAACTAATAAACAATATTTGTCTGTTGTCCCATGCAACTTCGTCATACGTTGAAAAAACAAGGGCATTTCTCATTTTAGCCTCAACTGTAACTGGCGTCACCTCATGCATCATCAATTTGACATTAAATCATAACTCAAAGCTTATCACCTAACATGCCTTCTTTTATAGCTTGTGCCTTCCTTTTTTTTTTTTGTTGACTGCAGGCACCACTGCATGCATGTGTCTGTGACAATGTGTAATTGTGGCTAGAATGCATTCCAAGTTTTTTAATTTTAAGTATAAAATGTATATTTGCAAATATATGAATAGGGGCATCAATTAATTAAATATATAAGTTTAAAGGGGAGAAGGTGGCAAAAAAGCACATCATTGCACACTATGTAGCGACATTGTCTATGTGGACTATTTTTAATGGTATTAGTGGTATATAACTTTGTTCATATAAGCAACTTACTTCAGTCATGTGAATAAACTATTGGTTACAAAATTAATATGTAAATCATAATTATAAAAAGAGTTACCATTACTTTCCATATTTCAGATCCACTTATAAATTCTTTTGATAAAATGAATCCTTTACAAAAATAAAAAATATATATCCTTTAATCCCGAATAATTTATATAAATTAAAAATTAATCATTAATATATAAATAATGTAAATTACCAAATTATCACTGTAGAAGAAATCGTCTGTTAAACGCTTAAAATCTTCTGCACACGAAATTCGGGCGGGAAAACTTTACCAATCAAATACGTTTGATAATATCCCAGAATTCAATTTCATTTTAATTGCTTTTCCGTTAAACAAAAATGCGCAGAAGTCACCGCTTTACTTCAGTAACGGTTTTATGTGATGACGGTCAATTTAATATCTGATTAGACATAAATAATAATAATAATAATTGTTAAATACGGGATGATTGTAGTTAAATTAAATGTTCTTTAGAGCTTTCTGTAAAAAGAACTATTTGACAAATCTCAATCAAGTTTAGTATACATAGGTTACTGTAGTTTCGATTTTCGGGAAAAATTTTATTTCAAAATATATCCGCTAGGACGAAATTCGGCGCTGACCTCTCAACGTTCGTATTACTTTGTAATGAATTTTTGGTATAAAAGGAATTTTCTTGACAGTTCTACAGATGAAGAGTCGTGGTTCTCACTTCGCTTAACCGCGCGTTATTTGTTATAAGTCGATTAAGGACTTTCGGTGTTCAAAAGGTTTACGAAGTTTTCTGACTTAGAAATCATGCGAAAATAATTTTGCGTTATACGAAGATGTTACTTTTAGGCAGTGGCGTGCCGTGACATTTGATGATAGGGAAGCTGTGTTTCTGTAAGAAGTCGACATCCAGGGACAATCAGTCAATTGCGCGTCAGTGATGGTCTAGGGTCCATTCGTATCGTTTATTCGATAAGCCGGTAAAAACCGTAGACTTCTCTAAATGCATTTTTAATATCACAATTACATTCCGAATCGCTAGTCACGATATAAGGGCTACAATTAAAAATAAAATAATAAAAACTTACTCGGTGAAATAAAATATGTGGTGGATGTACAGATACATAAAAATATTCTTCAATTGTATGAACATACTTTTAAATAAAATTATAATTAAATATAGTTTTGTAAAGAAACGTACATAAAAATATAAAATATTCTTTACTTTTTAAATCTTAAAACAATACACTTACAAGTTAGTCAAGTACGAGTGGCTAATAGATGGAATCGAAGACGGTTGCAGAGCGTGCATATACGCGGACTGCCAAATCCCCAGGATGCCGATACCGGTCAATGTCAAATACATCTTTTGTCGCATCACTAGTATATCTCAAAGGGCACGACAGGGCTGTTGTAGATTTAAACGTTGTAATAATCTAAATATGTTAAACTTAATAGCCTAGTCATTTGCTTTCTAATTCGTTTTAGGACCAAGTGTCCTCAGAAATTTCCAAAATTTACAACTTTTCGGTCACTCTCATTGAACTGGAAAATTTTCTATCTTTATTACATTAACTAGCTCAGGGATGGCGAACCTTTTTGAGTTTGCGTGCCAAGTAGTAAGCATATTAAGCATACTTTTCTTTAAAAATGTTTATGCGTGCAGAAGTTTTAGACTTCGAGTAACTATATTTAAATTTGGCCGAATGGCCGAGCGGTCAAAGTGGTTGCTATCGCTCCTGTAGACCCGAGGTCAAAACCCCAGAAAATTTTCAAGTGGGTATCCATTTGTGGCTACACGCCATATTTATGTTGTATGTAATTTCATTTTTTTTTCTTTTTTGCGTATATATCTCTCTACTTTCCCTCTTTATATCCATTCGTCTACCCTTCCTGGAATGTGCTCGTTTACACTTGCATTGGTATGTGGATGACTCACTCCAAAAACAGAAAAGAACGCAGGAGGGGAGAGGGCGAACACGTGTGTCGGGGGAGGAGAGTAGAGCTCGGAGGAGAGAGACGGAGGAGGAGTCGGGGGAGAGTACGTTCAGCGTCGTATCGGATAGACGACGACCCGGGAACTGGAAGAAAAAGAACGAACTTTGCGAGAAACAAGACGCATCAACCATTGCAAGGAGCACCAATTATCAAGTTTGGGTACCCTCTGACCTATCTCTTGTCTTCATCTTCCAAGCCTTCTGATAAACCTATTCTATTCAATACTAATATCTAGAAATAAGAAACTAGCATAATTTACGTAGTTTAAGGGATTAGTCGATCGGGCCGGACAGGAACTACACGCGCACTTTCCTGTCGCGTATTATATTATTCGGTGGTTCATTAAGGGTGTGTTTTATTCGGTGGATATGGTTATGTTGGTATCCTTTGTAACCTGCATCAACCTGGCGAGTAAATAAACTTATTGTATTTTTGGTTTATTTAATTTCGTTTTGTTTGTCTACTTCTCGCCCGTAGGTCTAACACATTCTTCACCACCCGGCTGTCCCATTGTGGACTTGCTAAATAAAAAAGCCCTCTTAGTACCCACAGGGCGAAAAGAGTTTTAAAAAGTTATATTTAAATAAATAAAATAATATACTGTAATTAGAGTAAATGGAAAGAACGTAATTTAAAAAGATGATAAACCGAAATCATATAATTCGTTACGTGCCAGATGATTCCTTTGACGTGCCACTTTGGGCACACGTGCCATAGGTTCCTCACCTCTGAACTAGCAGCAAGTACCCGCTTCGCTGGGTTTTTATTTGTTCGTACATTTATATGTAATATAGTTATATATATATATATAAGATTGTTTCTTTTCCTGTACATAATCTTTCTCTGATTCGATGTTTCCCTATAATTTTCAAGTTGCTCTTCTGTCTGATTATTTCTGTTTCGTTGATAATTTTCTCGTAGTAATGTTAGACGTACTTCTCTTTCTTCCGTGGTTTCATTTCTCCGCGCCATCTTTTGCCTTTGAGATATGATTCGAGACCGCAAAAATTCTTTCTTGCGCTTTGGCATTGTTTTGTATATTTTTAATTTTCACACTTCACTATTCTTTTTTCACTTTCAACCTTTTTCTGTTATTCGTACACAGGGCCGGATTAACCCACTTTGGGGCCCTAGACATTTTTCTTCTTACTGGGCCCCCTCTCTCTCCCACAAGAAAAAGAGCACACAAAAAAAATATAAAACAATAAATAAAACAAAACTAAATAATGTGAACAACTAATTTATTTTATATTTTTACAGTATAATTTAATATATTATTATTTTTATTAGTAATAGGAATTTATTATTGATATGAATTTATTGTCGAATTTATGGTCGTTTTGAACACCATATACAGTCGACCCCCCTATAACACAGTAGATACGTTCCGTTCTTTATGAATCGATTTCTTACGAGGTCATGCCAATTACAGCCCCACACGTGTGAAGTTTACGGACTACAGTTGTTTGAAAGGTTTTGTTCCATAAAATTAATCGATTATAGACTAATTCGACTCAACATTTCCAAAATACGTACGTATATTTTTTGGGAATAATCTGTATAAACTACGCTATTAACAAAAAATTGTAGGATTACTTACCGAGTGTGCACCGTTCGACGTCGCCATTGCTCAAGCTTGTTTTCGTCGCGGAGCAACGCACCAAACCCGGCCGCGATTTCTGATAAGTTATTTTTCTGCGAAAACTTCGTTGAATTTTGGAGACATCATTAATGTAAATAATTTTTATGGCCGTTGAATAAGAAATGTTTCTTTCACAAGAAATGTATAAAAGTACAGTACTGTATTAGACTTACGGTACCTAATTTACATACTGTACAGACGATAGTAAACAACTTACTCGACTAAACTCCCCATAGCGTGGCGCTGGACGGCAGAAAGTATATATATATAATTATAATAAAGTTACAATAAATTAAGTTAATATATAATTATATATACCGTACCTAATTTATATATAATTATATGTACAGTACCTAATTTATATATAATTTATATATAATACTGTACAGACGATAGTAAACTCAATTTACTCATATAAATTCTCTGTAGCATGGCGCTGGACGGCGGAAAGTAGTTCGGCTGCCCGATGACGTTTTACCGAATTATAGGAGTTTTTTTACCAAATTTGTACGGATACCGTCGCAATTTTTTCGTCGTCTTATAGGAATTGTAATTATAGGAAAACGTGTTATAGGGGGTCTACTGTAGTGTAACTACACGAACACTAGACAATCTTCATTTTAAATTTATTCAATTTTTAAAAACGACAAAAATAATTACCAACACGGTTTCAATAACGTAAAATGAATTTATTATTTATACCACCGCTGCTGCTACTGTAAAAATGGGCAGTCTCTGTCAACGTATTGAGCGCCAGCTATGCAATTAATTATTTATCATTGCTATGCATGCTAACTATTTAGTATGTTGTCCCGATGACTGCACCGAGCCGTTCAACTAGCTATAATATAATGTAATAGAAAGATTAGAAGTACGAAATAATCTAATAATCTTAACGTTTGTTTTTATTTTTTGCCGGCTCATCGTCTTGTAGTTAATATTATTCTTATCGCTATAAAAAAATTTCTAAATTATCGGAAGAATTAACTTTCAATAAGAAGAAACATAACACATTTTCGTTAGATTTTAAAATTCACAATAACCATATAAAAAACAATGCATTTTTGTTTATTTGTTCATTATATACAATTGTCCAACAGAAAAGTAAACTATATTATTTACAAATCCTTTGAAAATAGACATTTTGATTGGGCCCTTCTAAAAACCGGGCCCTAGACATTTGTCTCATTTGTCTATGCGATGATCCGGCCCTGTTCGTACACTTTCACTAATGAAAAATCACTGAAGCATGTGCGTCACACGTCTCCAAAAGTTATCCCCACTACTCACACGTAACAATCCTCGACTATTCGAAAACATTTAAGATTAAGATTAGATTATAGCCAATCTTACCCGTTTTCACAGAATGCAAGAATTAGGTCCCCCTTTCCAGACTAATTAGAGAGTTTTACATGGGTCTAAAAATATGTTCGATTTCCTGCAAAACCACAAAAAAAAAAAAAAAAAAAAAAAAAAAAAAAAAAAAAAAAAAAAAAAAAAAAAAAAAAAAAAAAAAAAAAAAAAAAAAAAAAAAAAAAAAAAAAAAAAAAAAAAAAAAAAAAAAAAAAAAAAAAAAAAAAAAAAAAAAAAAAAAAAAAAAAAAAAAAAAAAAAAAAAAAAAAAAAAAAAAAAAAAAAAAAAAAAAAAAAAAAAAAAAAAAAAAAAAAAAAAAAAAAAAAAAAAAAAAAAAAAAAAAAAAAAAAAAAAAAAAAAAAAAAAAAAAAAAAAAAAAAA